GTGCTCCTCCTAAGCGCCGCGCGCCCGGGGCATGAGCGGCCAATTCGCGGCGCTCCCGGGGCCGGCACTTACCATGCGCCCGGGCCGGCTCCGGCATGATGCATGCACCACGTGCCTGGGCCAGATCAGCCCTGAGCACTTGGCGGACGCACACAAATGGCCCCGCGGGCACTGTGTTGGGGACCACTGGTCTAGACGGTGCTTGGTCCTGCCGTGAGGGCAGGGGACTGGACTCGATGACCTCTTTAGGTCCCTTCCAGTTCTAGTATTCTATGATTTTATGATAAACCATTATTTTGGTTAGAGACTCACAGCTTCCTTACCCTTGTACCACTTACTTCTGTAATTCCTTCAATTACCACTTTATTCTTCAATGTTAGCTTCATATTTGTGTCTTGTCATTTCCATTTTCCATGAACATGACTTTGGAGAATCCAGAAATGCTAGTGGTACAAAAGAACAAGATAAAGTTTATCTTGGAACATTAGCCAGACCTGAAAAAGAGCAGACAGGGGACAAGAGACAAGACCATATGCGTAGCTTCCTTAGCTTTGGAAGCCCTGCAGACTGGCAGCTCCATTTGCAAATTCTGGAGACTGACTACCCAGATATTGGACCAGATTCGCCATACACTCTGTGTTCTTTGTGCCAGTTTATTGATGCTACGTAGTCATAAACCTAAGTTCATTCTCTAGCTAAATTTCTACAAATTCTTCTAATCAGTAAGTGCGGTGAAAAGCAGGTTATGCCAATAAATATAGTGACAACTTTTTTCAAAGCATACCTGTGATTAAACAGATTATGAAGTGGGCAGCTGGAATGCAGGTCTACTTCAAGGATACTTCCAATGATAGAGAAATTTCTGGTCAGATCTTGAAATCGATGAAGATGCCAAAATGATGACTATAATTAAGGGAGTTGAAGAGAAAGAGCTGATATGGACTGAAGTAAAGAGACAATAGACTTTATACAGAGGAGCAGCAAACACCATGTTGGCTGTGGACATGAAGCTCTCATATTATATTTGTTTCCCCATTGCAGCACACATAAGTGTTCATGCAGTACAAAGTGATGGGACTGGCAAACAAGAGTACACAGAGAGCATGATATAGGGAAAAGTTGAAAAGTAATAAAAGTAGCATTTCAAAAACTGATGCTGGCATCTGCCCAAGCCACTGGCAGCATTCCAATGCTGCAGTGAGAGTCTGAGCATGGCTAAATCATATCTCAAGGTCCGCAGCACCAGCATCCCTTTGCAGCTGGGGCATTGTTGAAAATTCTAAAAAATATTTGGACTTAATGTTCCATCGGCTGTCAAATGCTTCGTTGTAAGTTACACAACACATGCCAAAATAATTTCCAATACAACTCATGTAAGCTGATTAATTCTTATTTAAACTTAAGCTTGAATATTAAGGCACCGTACTGAGTCTTAACTATCAAATTAAGTGACGAGTTTTATATGTGAAGTTTGGAAAGAAGCTCCTAGGTTAGGTAGAGCTGCCTTCCCATCCCAAACAGAGGGGAGGGAATGGGGGATTTATAGCTAAAACTATATTGTTAGTAGGAAAATATGTTGATTTTCCAACGGGAAAAGTAGAAGAAGAGAGAAGAGTGAAAATACATCTGGAAAAAATCCTGATTTTCCTCCCCCAACTCTTCCTTCCTTTTTTCAGTGGGGCAAATAGCATAGGGAATGGAGTGAGAGAAGAAATAAAGAAAGGGAAAGGAGAGGGAAATAATTCAAACCATAAAAATGGAAAATTTCCTCCCCCCTGAAGCTGTGAAGACAGCCACCAGCCAACATCAGAACTGCAGCATCTGCGCAGATACAGAATCATTAACTAAACTGGCATAAGTCCTATACATTACATTGGTATACTAGGCACTTTCATTGACAGGAGGATTTTATCTATGTTCTTATATGACCTCCAGCATTGTAAGACCTTAGCATCTCCCACAGACAATGAATTTTTGTTCGCGCAACCCAGTGAGGCAGGGAAATAAAATAATCTCGTTTTACAGATGGAGGAACTGAGATGCAAAATGACAACTTGTCAAAGCTTACACAGAGCTGTAGCAGAAAGGAAAATTGAATCCTGAACACCTAAAACACAATCCAATGCCTTAATCATAAGACCGTTTTTCCTGTAGTCTGTACAGTTTTTCACTTTTGTATATGTGGTGTTCATTTTTCATAGTTACAGCCTCACATTTCCCACTTACATTTATTCTGAATTTTATATTTAATACCATTCCAAATTAGTAACTTTGTTTTCCTTATTTTTCTATTTTCTTTGTGCTTTAGTGACTTAAAAGAAAAACTAATAATACCTATAGTGATAAAAAACAACAATACAGAAAGTGGCAATAAGAAACTGGTATGATTTTTTAAAAATGTTAACTATTTTAAAGACTTTTTTTTATCTCTGTTACACATTAGGTCTTTTGCCCCAGTCACCCACTTTGAAAAACGGTATCTTCTCCTCACTTTTCCTCCTACCCCTTGTGGTGTAGATGAAACTCCACAGAATTCTTTGAAAGCAGCTCTGTACATTTGTAGTTGAAAATGGTTGAAACTGCCTCTAACCCAGCAATGACTAAGCTATAGGAAAAGCCTTCATTCAGTTATAATGTAAAGGAAAATGTGGGTGGAGGAACTGGGCTTTCTGGGTCTAACTCATTTAAAATCTGGACAGTAACAGTCATCAAGAGGAAGACAACTCTCATCAGGCATGGATCTGAGGTTTTTCAGAATTCCATTGTCTGGCAGTTCCCCTTGTCCCTGACTGGTGATGTAATTCTAGAGAGAGTGCAATTATTTGACTCAGCATGTTCCTAAGCCACAAGAAAAAGTAGTGACGTACATAAAAAGCACAGTAGTCGCTCTTATCAGATGAGAAGGACAGCAAGACGTTTTCCCCGATTTATGAACACACGGGAAAGCTCTTCTTTGTCCTTGCTTTTTTTTTTTATTCACTTGATGCATGTGCCATTTTTCAAATGACCAAAATACATCGCTGACCATGTCCCTTAACATAATATACCAGGTTATGCTCTACTCCAGAGAAATGGCATGAGACCATTAATTGTTTCATTGCCAAAGATATATTACTTGGCTTCCTATTCTTGTTATTCAAGATATATCATAACTGATTTAAGTATCACAAATTATCGTTAGAAACGGGCTGGGCTCAGACACCCACCCATACATGCTACCCACAATATCCTCAAACTACCCACTGGATCAGTGAAATACTAATGGAATCTGTCATGTTTATAGGCTCCTTGTGGAAGTACTGCCTGTGAGTTAAACTGTACATCTGCTATTTCACATAGTTGAGTTTCATTGTAATAAAACTATGCTCTCTCCACTATCAGCTCCCACATAAAAATATTTAAGCTATATATCTTTTTTTCTTTACTTCATGAAGGACTTTCTGCAATACAATGGGATACCAACAGGTTCACAAGACCAAGAACAACATACATACTTACTAGTAGACCATCATTGGGGGATTTTGCTATCTCTCTATTCTGCAAGCTCATTAAATTCTCCTAAATTTAAGGGGCAAGCACAATATCTCTCCCACTAAAATATAAAGTTTATAAATGCTCAACTGAAGCATTTATAAACTTGAAATTAGTTTGAACAAACATTAATTTTAAGCCACTCACACTAGCCCTGAATTTGGAACAGTATGTCTAATGTTGCCTTATTTTACTGTAATTATTTGTTAACTTCCTAGGAACAACAGACTGTTTGAACCACCCAGATATGGCTACTCTTTGAAATCTTTTAATTATGTGATCTTGTCAGGTCATCTTATTGTTTTATTACTCAGAATATACCTCTAGTAATTTCAAAAAATAATTCAAAATAACGGGTGGCTTGTTTAGACGTGCGGTAGCTATTTCGGGATATCTCTGGATCCCAAAATAGCCGCGAAGTGTAGATGTACCCCAAGTGAACAGGCCTGGTTTTGATCCCTTGGTTTGATATCTCTCAGAAAATACCAAGCATGTTAATTCGGAGAACAGCTACATGCCAGTCTGAGAGAAGGTCAGATGGGTAAAAACCCCATCCAAATGTAGCCACTCATTTCAGTACAATGCTAGGCTTTAAAGTAACCAGTTTGCTAAAGCTACACAGCCCATCCAAAGGTTTCATTTATTTCAGCCTTTCAGGGATTAATTTTTAAGGGGCAAAACTCATCCACACCAACTAAAATAAAATAACTATAATATTCAATTTATACAATAAGTTCATCATTAACAAAAACTACTTATAAGTATATTTCTTGCCTGGTTCTAAGTTCAGTCCTATAACTCGTGTCTACTGGAAACAGTGTTCAACACAAAACAATGTTCAGTCTTAAAAGACAGCAAGCAGTAGCCAGAATATTGCATTTAGACTCCAGGCTCCTAAACCTGTTTTGGGATTAACAGCATGTTTCAGAAATTTCTTCACTAACTGAACCAAATGTTATTTCCACTGTGACTGAGGAAGGAGAATGGAAAAATGTATAGCACTCCAGCATCTTGGATGTTTCTGATTTGGTTTTACTATTAAATGCTATGCTAAATAACCTGTTCACTGTTGCAAGAGCCATTACTGAGATCTCATTAGGGTCACATAAGTGCTTGTAACAGGATTCTCAACCTTTTTCTTTCTGAAGCCTATCCAACAGGCTATAAGAAGTCCATGGCACACTGTGCTTTTTTGGATATAAAAGCCAGGGTGCATGATAATGGGTAGCAAGCAGGGCAATTGCCTAGAGCTGGATGACACAGAGGGCCTCACAAAGGTGAGCTGCTTAGCTTTGGCTTCAGCCCTGGATAGTGGGGACTCAGGGCCCCAGGCTTCAGTCCCATATGGCGGAGCTTCAGCTTTCTGCCTTGGGCCCCAGCAAATCTAAGACCAGCCCTGCTTGGCAGACCCCCTGACACCTACTGTGGCCCTCCAGGGGCCCCCAGACCTTTAGCTGAAGAACCACTACATAATAACATCCTACATAGAGAGAGATGTTTTATTTTGTTTCCTTCAGTGAGAATTTCTATCAGAAGTGTTGTTTTAGTAAAATGTTTTCATTGTTCCAGCCCACACTGGCAAAGATTTCTTGTGTTTGTGTTTTGGTTCCATTTGCCCATTTCAAGATATATTCAGATTTAAAAGCACTAAATTGGGCCTAATTCAAGGTTTAATGAAGTCAATGGGAATCTTTCCATCATTTTCCAAAGACTTTGAATTGGAGCCTTTGTACATGCATAACTCATAAAAGGACTGAAATATCAAGCTGAAGTTGACATTTTCCAGGAAGCTACTCCTCACTGAAAAAGAAAATTTAAAATAATTTTGTTATACACAATCAATTTTGCTCATGTTTGGTATGGTACTACCACTACATTTAGAATGACTATACTATTTTAAAAATTATGGAATAACATGATATGTTTGTAAGATAAATAGGTGTGAAATTCTATGGCTTTTCTAGTTATATGCCCCTGGACATACACGTGTGGGGCTTTACAACAGATCACAAAAAACTAACAACTGGAATTACACCCACAAACATACCAGTGGACAGTACTGTTTCTGATGCATCAATGTAATGTATGGAGCAGAGCAACAAAAATAAGTGGGCATTCACATTCTGCATTAGCTGAAGATTGAGAGGTCTTTAAGTATAACTCCATACCAAACACACTGCTATAATATAACCACATGGAAAATTGACAAGTGTCTAACAATGGCATGGTTAAATATGACAATGAAGATTTAAAAAGCTTTCTTTATTACTGTTATCTATAAATTCTAGAGCAGCTGATGGACAAGCAGACCACAACATGTGGCCCTCCATGAAAAACCTCCCCAAACCCCACAACCACAGAAGGCATCTTTT